CTGCTTCTCTGTGGGGCTTCTCTCCACACTGAATTGCTAGCAAATGAAGTCCCGAAGGGCTTCCACTCAAGAGATAGAGCCTAGAGTTTCCTGGAGTGGAGATAAGAGGCAAGGTCTTCCTGCGCTGCTAGGCTCCAGTGCTGGGAGCTGGCAACAGTTTCTTTTAGCACTCCAAGCTCAGCTCAAGGACCCAGCAGCATGGCTAGCTGGCAAGGTGCAGTCAGTTCACTGAGGATGGGAACGGGGCTGGGGACTGTGTTCTGTGCCAATGCTTGGAGGGGTGGGGAGGGGAGGGATGGCATGGGTGCAGCTCACAGGGGCTGGAGCCCAGGACTGCTTGGTGACTGAGGCACGGGGGCACATGAGAAGAACAATGGGAATCCCTGGACTGGAAAGACAGGAAGCCCAAAGGATGCTCCAGGTGGGTTCCAGTGAACCTGGGCTCCAGGAGCTGGAGTGAGGGAAGGCTGGGGCAGGGGCTTATCCCACAGACGCCTTCAAGTCAGCAGGTATGAGGGGTTACTGACCAGAGCCTGGCTCAGGAAAGCTAAGTGCCAGTGCTCTGTGTCCCTTGTGTCTGTCCTGTGCCTGTTCCTTGCAGAGAAGCTCGCGTGTCCCTGAAGGGGCACCCTTCCCCACCCTCAGCCACAAGGAACTGAAGAAGGTGGTGGCTAGTCCCTTGTCATTTAAATCCAAGAGGAGCCAAATGGCTCGGCCGGCCTGTGTATTCTACCTTGTGACCACGGTGGTCCAATCAGTCATTGGCCTGTGATCAAAGTCAGACCCTAAAGCAACTGGGTATTCATGAGCTAAACATGTACACACATAGAACACCCAGCATCCCAGGAGTGTGACTCCTAGAACCCTGTGCCCACAAGGACCACATGTCTGGCTAACGTTCAGCCTTCTGTTGCAACTATGGACACTCTGAACACTGGGCCATGTAGTTTCATTTAGACAGAGCCTTGAAAATCATATCCCCATTCCTGTGTGGATGTGGGCACACAAACACACATGAACACCCTCACGTGCACACACATACATGCATGCATGCACACACACACACACATGCATGCACACACACACATGCATGCACACATAGATGATGTCTAAAGCAATGGAAGTGAAGGAGTCTTGAGACTTCTTAGCCATGCTCGGCCACTGACAACTTCCTGGCTTTGATAATACTCTACAGTTACCTATGACATGATACTTGGGGAAGTTCCAGGAAGGAACCACAGTCTGTCTGTGCTATTTCTGCAGTTTCCAGTTAGTCTATAGTTATTTCAAAATGTTTGTTTTTGAAGACCTTGATTCTAGAGCTTCATCTTTGCTTGACTGTCTAAGGAACAGTCCTTGAGGAAAGGGTGAAATTAGCATCCTGACAAGGGAGAGAAAAAAATCTGTGAAAGGTAGGGACCAACCCTGGGTGGGAGCCCCTAGTTCTAGCCCTGCGTGGAGGCCACACACTGTGAGTTTCCTAGTTCCATGAGTCACTCGTGCCCTGTGTTGGCCAATCTGAGTTGAGTTTCTCCCACTCTCAACCTCAGGCTCTAGCCCCACCTTGTCCGGAGCGGACTAAGGACCAGAGAAGACAGCTGAGGCCACAGGACAAAGACACTCTATCCCCTTCCTGCACCTCCCTGAGGGCAGGAGTGGGGGTGGGGTCACTCACCTGAGGGCGACATAGAGAACGATGGTGAAGGCCAGGAAGACCATGGAGACTCCACAGCCTGCTTGGGAGATGTGAGTGAGAGTCTGTGCTGTGGCCAGGTCCAAGATCGGCCTCTGTAAATGACCCCAAGTCCGAATCACACCACTGAGAGGCCAGGCTCGCACGTCTCCCAAACCCCAGTCAGCCAGGAAGCCTCTCCCAGGACAGAGGCTGGACCTCTGGCATCAGGATGGCGTGGGCTGTTACCAGCAGTAAGGCGAAGAAGGTCAAGTGGTCGCAGCGGCACACGGTCCTCTCATCCCCGGGCTCTGTGGAGCAGCCTTGGGTATCCCAGTTTCCTGTGGGCCACAGAAAGGTAAGGGCAGAGGAGGGGGAGGGGAAGAGGGAAGGGAGGGCCTGCCTCTCCCCGCACCTCCAGCCCTATGGAAAGTTTCTCGTTCTAGAAAAGTCTTCCAGACCTACCTCTAGCCACATCCCAGAATACACAAGTGAGGATCATATTCTGAAACCAGAGAGCGCATGTCAGGAGAGGAAGGAGGAAGGAAGGCAGGGAGGAGACAGGTCATTCCCAGGGGCCTGCATGTGCCTTACGAGGAAGGGTAGGCTGCATGGGAAGATTGGCTGCATCCCCGGGAGCTGATGCTCCCTGGACCGTTGCTGTGCACGTGGGAGACACAACATACATGGCATGAAAGGGCTTGCCTGTCTGTGCACGCACGCCTTCAGGATCGTTGCCTGGCGGGTGTGGAAAGCATGCACACAGATGCACTCTCCAGGTCCTCATACATTTATGAACATGGAGGTGGGAGGGTGCGGGGGCATGCGTGTTCACACATGCAGGGCAGACTGTGCATGACCCTGATGGTTTCTTCTGGGTACAGGGCATAAGGTCCCACGCATGGCTTCTCAGAGCTCATGCACTGTGTGCCCCGCAGTAACTGCCAGGCCTGGGCAGAAGACTCACAGGTGGTTGGTGCTGGTGGGAAAAGGTGATCTCCACCGGCTCCGGCAGTCCAGTGGCATGCATCTGGCCCACACTCAAGCCCACCATGCGGCTGTTCAACACGCTGCCGCCATTGTCCTGGAGGAGCTTGGGGCCCTGGGAGGGATTGACAGGAGGCTAGGCTGTAGGATGGGCTGACTTTACCTGCCCTAGATAGGGGTCTAGGGAACTCTAGGACACCCCCTCATCTGGAGTCAAAGTCTGAGACGAGAGATCCAGGGACTCAGGTGCATAGGCAGCCTTCTTCCTGATGCTCCCTATAACATGCTGGGCTAGGCTGGGCTGGGCTCTAGGCTCCATAACACCTCACTGAAAGCCAAGCCCTGACATCTCTGAACTGGAAGAGCTTGAGGCTAAGATCAGCCAGGAGATGGGGTAAATGCAGTGAATGCCTCCAGGTAGGGGGATGAGTGCATCCAGACCCAAGGGTGTATATATCTAGCTTAAGTAGATGGATGCATACCTCAGGAGCACACATCTGGCATGTGTTGTCAAGGGAGAGCATGTTTGTCCATGTAGACACAGTCATATGTGAGCACACCTGATTATATGTTCTCGGGAATACAAAAGGGCATGTGTGTTCATGCATGTGCAAGGACACACAAGCGTGCATGAGCACACTTGGACTTCATACACAACAAACGGGTGCTGATGTCCAGATATCGGAATAGTCTCCAGTTCCCAGACTGTAGAAATGGCTCTTGGATGACCTGGCTGCCTTAGAAACCATCTCAGGGACCCTGACCCACTGTGTATTTAACTGCAGCTTCCTGAGCTCCCAGCATGCCTCTTACCTTGAAGACATCCCCTTCACTAATGTTCAGAATAGTTATGGCCAACCGGACAGCAGACCCGTTGCCAGGCAGGAGGGCTCCAAACAGGCTCTTGGGAAGTCGGACTCTGTCAGCGGGCTGTTCCTCACCCTGCATCATTTGCTTTGGGATCTGTAACCATGGACCCAGAAGCTCTCACCTTACCCGGAGGATTCCAGCCCCAACTCAGGTGCTGCTACCATCCCAGTTGGGAGAGAAGCTGCAGCGTGCCAGGTGAAGGGGCAGCATCTGAGGACTCTAAGTTCTGGGGGTTGGAGGTGGGGGGAGCAGAACACCTGGCTCAGTCCAGGCTCTGTTCCTCATGGGCTGGGCCCCAGTTTCCCCATCCCAGAGGCCAGCTGAGCACGACTGTGTTGGTGTGGCCGCGCTCTGCTTTTAAGTGTGGGGAGGGCCAGTGGGGATGTCCTGGAAAGAAGCAAGGGGAAGAGTGTGGAGACAAGGGACTCGTGTTTACCTTGAGTGTGAAGTCCTTCCTGCCCAACAGTGAAGTGTTATAGACACCGAGAATAGTTAGAATGTTAGAACAAACCTCCCCAGAAATCACCAGGCATCCTTTGTCTAGTCTCTGACTTCCTGGCTGCCCAGGGGCATCAGCCTGCACCCACCTCTGCTTCAGAAGGACCCAAGCTCATGGAAACAGGGAGCTAAGAGTTGGGCCTGAAGCCCCAGTTTCACATTCCTAGTCCAGATCTTGTTAAAAAGACATGTGGGTGATATCTTGAGCCATGGCATACCCTACCCAGAGAATACAGCATCATAAAAGGCTGAGGAATTTGGGTGATGAGCAACTCAGCCAGATGCCTGGTCTCTGCCCTCAACTTCATCCCTCCAGGGAGGCTGGGGACTTGCTGAGCCCTCAATGGACCAAGAATTCCTTGGATATTAATTTAGGTGTGCTTTTCCAATATGTTTTTGTTTTGTTGTTTTTGAGACAGAGTTCATCTGTATAGTCTGTGTTGGCCTGGAGCTCAGGAGCAATCCTCCTGCCTCTGCCTCCTGAGTGCTGGGAGAATGAGTATACATCATCCTGCCTGGCTTCTGATACTCTTGAAAGTGGGCAATATTCTCATCATTTACAGGTGAGAAAACTGAGGGTTGAAAAGGTAATGTGCCCACGATGGAAACGGCTGGTAAGCGCAGAGGTGGAGTTCTCTGGGCCAGTGTAAATCTAGAGCCCTCCCGCTCATTCTCCCGAGGCCAAGTGTGCCTTTACTCTGACTTCAGGTCTATACTCTGGCAGAGAGGTCAATGGGCACTTGAGGCTTGGAGGAGCCAGAGACTCATTTTCCAGATGAGCACCCAAGGCCTCTGGGAGAAAGAGGACTTTCTGAGGACATCAAGGGCAGTGGCAGGAGGGCCAGTTCAGGGATCTCCCAGCACCCTGGCTAATCCACCACCAGGTCTCACTCATTCAGTTACTTCACTGGCCCTGTTAATGAGTGACAGAGCTATGCTGACTATGACTTAGGAGGGATAATGATGTGGGATGGTCTATATGTCAAATGTGTTGCTGATTGGTCAATAAATAAATCACTGATTGGCCATTGGCTAGGCAGGAAGTATAGGCGGGACAAGGAGGAGAATAGAGCTGGGAAGTGGAAGGCTGAGGGAGAGACACTGCCAGCCGCCATCAGGACAAGGAAGATGTAAAGTACCGGTAAGCCACAAGCCATGTGGCAAGGTATAGATTAATAGAAATGGATTAATTTAAGCTGTAAGAACAGTTAACAAGAAGCCTGCCACGGCCATACAGTTTGTAACCAATATAAGTCTCGGTGTTTACTTGATCGGGTTTGAGCGGCTTGGGACTGGCGGGTGAGAGAGATTTGTCCTGACTGTGGGCCAGGCAGGAAAACTCTAGCAACAAATGGCGTCCAACGTGGTGACAAGAGTTTCCACCTAAAACCTGAGATAAAAAGATTCTAAAACGGAGCTAAAAACAGCTTCCTAATTGTCTCTCTCAAATGAGCGGCAGCTGCCGGTTTGAGCTACTGGCGGGTTGCTGGCGTGCGCGCTCGACCTGCAGTATGGCGGGAATGAGGCCTCTGCAAGTGGCACATTAAGCTACATTATGGATTTAGCCTTTGCTAATACAAAACAAAAAAAGAGGTTTCTGGGCTACACGCTGCTTGGATAAAAGCATAGACCCACAATAGCTCCCAGAGCTGGTGGTAAAACTACAGTACCGCCGCCGCCATGTTGGGAAGCTGAGGTGGGCGGAGCCAGCTGCCACAGTTGCTGCAGCTTAAAGCAATAGATTCACAATAAGACAGATTCAGATGTAATAGTTTAAAATGTGTGTAAAATATACGTAGGCTTGAAAGAGACAAAAAAAGGTGATACATACAGTATAGAAACAAATACATGGTTTTAAAAAATAAAGTCTTTAAAGAGACAGTAAAATTAATATAAAAAATAAGCCACGTAGAGATGACTATTACACAGAGAGTCTGGATTGTGTTGTCTTTGGGATTCTTAACTACAGAGAGATATTTGATTGTAAAGGAAGCTGAGTTAAACCAGTATGTATATTTTAAAGATACTTTGACTTCAAAATTTGGATGTAAGGATATGTTGCTTTGGAAAAGAGTCTCTTTTGTTTCCACAGAAAGCAAGAGGCTATGGATTTGTTCCAGATTAAGACACATCAGGTTTGACCAGCCAAGACCACCTGAAAGGTCTCCGATGACACCATGGCCCAGATGATCCAACATCCAGAACCGTTTCAAGGCAACTGGCTCAGATGATACAGCCTCACGGACTACTCCATGATCCTAAAATTTTCTTTGTTTCCCCAGAAGATACAGCGCCCCCCTCCAGCAGGAAGTAGTAAGAGAAGCTACGCCCAAATTCCCAAATATACCAAGCTGACTTTGGAGATGTGTAAAGGTTAAAACCTTCCTTTTTAAGAAAAGAAAAGGGGAAGTGATGTGGGATGGTCTATATGTCAAATGTGTTGCTGATTGGTCAATAAATAAATCACTGATTGGCCATTGGCTAGGCAGGAAGTATAGGCGGGACAAGGAGGAGAATAGAGCTGGGAAGTGGAAGGCTGAGGGAGAGACACTGCCAGCCGCCATCAGGACAAGGAAGATGTAAAGTACCGGTAAGCCACAAGCCATGTGGCAAGGTATAGATTAATAGAAATGGATTAATTTAAGCTGTAAGAACAGTTAACAAGAAGCCTGCCACGGCCATACAGTTTGTAACCAATATAAGTCTCGGTGTTTACTTGATCGGGTTTGAGCGGCTTGGGACTGGCGGGTGAGAGAGATTTGTCCTGACTGTGGGCCAGGCAGGAAAACTCTAGCAACAGGATAAGCTTTGATGGACACCAGCCACCAGGAAGCTCTTCACCTGGGAGGGCATCAGAGAGAACAGCAGGTCTTCTGAGACATCTGTGCTGATGTTCTGAATCAAGGCCTTAACAAAAGGCATGTCCACAGTCTCCATGGAATTCTCCAACAGGTAGGACTCATATTTCAGCCAGTATCTGCAAGGGGCAAGGGATCAGAGGAGGAGGAGCTTGCAGGCCAAGCCACCCACTCCTCAGGCTCTTGGGGTGACGGCTAGCCCAGAATATCAGAGACGGCTAACCCAGACTATCAGAGATGGCTAACCCAGACTACCAGAGATGGCTAACCCAGAATACCAGAGATGGCTAACCCAGAATACCAGAGATGGCTAACCCAGAATACCAGAGATGGCTAACCCAGAATACCAGAGACCCTGGATTCACAATGTGAGGAAGAAGAATGGCTTGGGAATTGATCCTGAAGGAGTCCAGCTAAAGATCCTCTGGACATCTTAATGTTTGTCTTTCAAAATGTCTTGTCTGTGCATATGTATGTGCACCATATGCATGCCTGGTGTCCTTGGAATTCAGAAAAGGGCATCAGATTTCTTGGCACTGGCATTAGGGATGGTTGTGAGCTGTGCATGCTGGGAACCAAACCTGGGTCCTTGCAAGAGCAACAAGCGCTCTTAAGTGCTGAGGCATCTCTCCAGCCCATGCTCATCTTTTAAAATAGTAAAATGTCAGATACAATCCATACACTAACCATTTCAGCATGTAGTGTTGAGTGGCATTGAGCACACTCACGGAGCTCTGAAACCATCGCTACCGTTTACCTCAGAACAGCCCCACCACCACGGAAGGGAACCGCATGCTCACTAAGCAGCTACCCTTTCCCTTCCAGCCCCTGGAAACCGCTCACCTAATTTGCTTTATGCCTCTGTAAACTGCCCCCTCTTCTTCTTTAAACAAGGTCTCATGTAGCCTAGGCTGGACTTGAACTCACTATGCATAACCTGAACTCCTGACCCTCCAGCCTCCTCCTCTAGAGTGCAGAGATTACAGCCTTTGTTAGCCACACCCATTTTACAGTGTTAACTTTTTTGCTTGCTAGATAAGCATTTTACCAACCTAGCCACATCCCACCCAAACTTTGCCTGTTTTGAATTTACAGAACATTGAAGCACACACTATGTGGTCTTCTGAGTCTGGCTTCTTACACTTAGCACATTGTTTTCCATTCATGAATTGAGATTTCAGTCCTTCTGAATGAAACACACCCATCTACTGATGAGCATATAGATGCACTTCTCCACTGATGAGCAAGCATGGATCTTTGGATATCACCATTGACGGGCACAAGGACCTTTGCATCCATCCTCTGATGTACATACAGTTCTGTGCACCCACCCACTGATGGGCATTTGAATATTTCCCACTGTGATGGACAGTGTTTGTCAACTTGGCACAAATTAGAGTCACCTGGGAAGAGGAGCTGAGAGATTGAATCCATCATATTGTCCTACAGGCATGTCTGTGGGGCATTTTCTTGATTAATGATTGATGATGTGTGCCCAGTCCACTATGATCCTGGGTTGTATTAGAAAGCAAGATGAATGAGTCATGGGGAATGAGCAGCAAGGAGCATCACTCCAGATTCTCTGCTTCAGTTCCTGCCTCTAGGTTCCTGCTTGAGTTCCTGCCTCTGACTCTCCTCGTAATGATGGACTGTGTTGTGGACATGAAAGTCAAATAAACCCTTTCTTCCCATAAGTTGCTTTGGGCTATGGTATTTATCACAGTGACAGAAAGCTGAGTAGAACACCCACCTTTCAGGTATTGTGAATAGGTCTGCTGTACAAATTCATATATGAGCATTCATGGAAGACTTATTTTAAATTCTCTGGGCATGTACACAGGAGTAGAATTGTTAGGTCATATGGTAATTCTCCATTTAGCTTCTTGAACAGCTACCAAGTGGTTTTCCACAGCAGCTGCACCATTTCACACTTGCTCCTGCAGTGTATGGAAGCTCCAGTAGTCTTGCCAACACAATGGTCTTGTTTTGTGTCCTTTTTAACTGTACCCATGGGTACAAGAGGTGTCTCATGGTAGTTTTGATTTGTATCTTTTTAATGACCCAGCGACATTGAATATCTTCTCACATGCTTTTGGCTTTGCATATCTTATTTGAATAAATCTCTTCAGGCACATTTATTGAGTGCTAATTGTATACTAAGAATTCAGCCTTTGATAACTGAGCCACAGACCAGCAAGATGCCTCAGTAGACAAAGGAGAATGTTGAGCGTGCTGATGATCTGAGTTTAATTCCTGGAACCCACATAGGTAGAAAGAGAGAACTGACTGGATAAAGTTGTCCTCTGACCTCCACAAGTGTGCAGTGAGTGACGTGTGTGACCCACTCACATAAAAACACAATAATAAATACATCTTTGGGGTTTTTTTAAAGACAGGTCTCATTATGTAGCCTTAGCTGGCCTTAAATTCATAGATACACTTGCCTCTGCCTCTCAAGTGCTAGGATTAAAGGCATGTGCCATGATACCTGGCTTAAATAAATGTGTGTGTGTGTGTGTGTGTGTGTGTGTGTGTGTGTGTGTGTGTGTGTAAGAAAGAAAACTAAGTCAGGTGGTGGTGGTGCACTCCTTTAATCCCTGCACTTGGGAGGCAGAGGGAAGCAGATCTCTGAGTTCAAGCCCAGCCTGGTCTACAGAGCAAATTCCAGGACAGCCAGGGCTACACAAAGAAACCCTGTCTCAAAAACCAAAAAAGAAAGAAAGAAAGAAAGGAAGGAAGGAAGGAGGAAAAAAAGAAAGAAAGAAAGGAAGGAAGGAGGAAAAAAGAAAGAAAGAAAAAAGAAAAGAAAGAAGGAAGGAAGGAAAGGAGGAAGGAAGGAAAGAAAACTAAACCACGTGAAAACTGCCTGGGAGCAAGCAGATGGTATTGGAGACAACACAAAGATTGTTGTCACTCACGCTACAGGGGAAGAAGGCTGCTGTCGCTCTCCGTGGTGCTGAAATTCAGAAGCGTCCCTGACCTTGGGTCTCTTTCCCTAGCCCGGGACCCTAATTGCTAGGAATGCGACCACAGCCATGTGTGCCCCACCTCTTGCTTAAAATCTTTAAAAATTACCTTTTTTGTTTTTCGTTGTGGGGCTGACACTGCATGCCACAGTTTGCTTCTGGAGATCAGAGGACAACTTGAAGGGATTTGTTCTCTCATTCTACTATGTGGGTCCTAGGATTTGAAGTCAGGTCGTCAAGCTTGTGTGTCAAGAGCCTTTACCTGCTAGGCTATTTCTCCAGCACTTCCCCCACCCAGTTTTTTTTTTTTTTTTTTTTTTTTTTGGTTTTTCGAGACAGGGTTTCTCTGTGTAGCTTTGCGCCTTTCCTGGATCTCGCTCTGTAGACCAGGCTGGCCTCGAACTCACAGAGATCCGCCTGCCTCTGCTTCCCGAGTGCTGGGATTAAAGGCGTGCACCACCACCGCCTGGCTGCCACCCAGTTTTTTAAATGTAGTCCCGGAGATCAGAACTCAGGTCCTCACGCTTGTGCACAACACACTTTACTGACTGAGTCATCTCCCCAGCCCCCATTCACTGTTCACCTTTCCAAGAAACCCTGGACAGGTGAAGGTTGAGGTAGTGATAGGAGACAAGAGAGCTAGAGAGAGATACACCCAGACTGAGGCCACAGAGACAAAAGGGAATTTTCTCTCTCTCTCTCTCTCTCTCTCTCTCTCTCTCTCTCTCTCTCTCTCTCTCTCTCCTCTCTTCCCCTCTCTCATCTCTCTTTCTCCTCTCTCTCCCTCCCCTCTCTCTATCCCCCTCTCTCCCTCCCCTCTCTCTATCCCCCTCTCTCTCCCCTCTCTCTATTCCCCCTTCTCTCCCCCCTCTCCTCTCTCTCTCTCCCTCCCCTCTCTCTTCCCCTCCCTCCCCCTCTCTTCTCTCTTTCCTCTCTCTTCTCTCCTCCCTCTCTCCCCTCTCTATTTCCCCTCTCTCTCCCTTCCCTCTCTCTTCCCCTCCCCCTCTCCTTTCTCTCTCTCTCTCCCCTCTCTCCCTCCCCCTCCTCTCTCCTCTCTCCTCTCTCTTCTCTCCTCCCTCCCCCTCTCTCTCCTCTCTCTCTCCTCTCCTTTCCTCTCTCTCTCTCTCCTCTCTCTCTCTCTCTCTCTCTCTCTCTCTCTCTCTCTCTCTCTCTCTCTCTCTCTCTGCCGTGGGGATGGAACTCGAAATCTCAGGCACGCTAGGCAAGTGCTCTACCACTATCCTACACCCCAGCCCTGTCACTGTTTTTTTTTCATAGACATAGTTATCAAGGAGAAAGGACCCTATAGAGACAACAGAAAACAGATTGCAGGATAGAAAAGTAAACCACGTAAAAATATGCAAGTATTATTGGATGGAGACAGTATAAGAAAACCATTTTATCAAAAACAGGGATGAGGGGGTAAATCCATTGAGCAACACATATTATTCTGCTTTAATTTGCCTTTAATAGTCAGAGAAGTGTTGGCTTTTGTTGGTACCAAATAAAATAGGAAATTGTACCAGTATTGAGATTTTTGTTGCCACATAAAGTGGTAAACAGTGAACTGAATATATGTTTATATATGTCTCTACCTTGTGTACTTAAAGACCTTTCTCACCTTTGCAAAATAACCCAATTCCCTGTCCTAAGGAAGATTCCCCAATGTGGTTCTCGGGTACAGTGAATTGTCATTATGATCCTTTGGTGCCGGCCCCTCCTCTCTTCTGTGAGACAGGCCCAGACTGGCCTCGAGCTCCCAGCCCCCTTCCTCCACCTCCCGAGGCTAGGATTACAGATGTGCACCACCACCAGAGCTTCCAATCATCTTGAACGTAGTGGAACGCTCCCATTCAGAAGCAGTCTCCACACCACACTCCCTCATCCAGTCTTTCTAATGGGCTAACTCCAGACATCTGCCTCTTACTAAGCTGCTTCTGATGACCTCTCCACAAGAGGACAGATAGAAACAAGCTATTTGATGGATCCCCCACCCCCACACCCTATATAGACCAGACCGTGCAGATACAATATGTTGCGGTGACCACCCTTTGTCAGAGAGTGACCTTCTGGAACTTCTGACAATGAAACCAGAAGGAGGAATGGAGGGAGGAGGAAGGGAGGAGAGAGAGGTTAAATAGCCATTTTACCGAAGAAAATCTCTAAATGGCCAATGAGCACATGCAAAGATGTTGAGGTTCATTGTTCACGGTGAAATGCCAGTGGGAACCTCGGGAGATGCTCCTCTACACTAGAGTGGCCAGAACCACATGAGGGCCTTCTGCACTGCTGACAGGAAGCAAATGGCACAGCCACTTTGGGAAACGGTTTGGCAGTCTTTTATGGAGTTCAAGATATATTCAGGATATATTCCAGCAATCCTGTTCCCCAGGCATGGATCCCCCACCACATGGCAACATATGGCCTCAGGACTTGAATTAAAATGTTCATGGGAACAATATTCAGATCAATCAAGAACTGGCACCAATTCAAATGCCCATCAATTGGCAAATGGACAACATAATGTGATATGTTTGCATGGGGTAATCAGACTAAAATAAGTACCATAAAATATGGATGAGGCTCACCGTGCTAAAGGAAGGAAGGAAGGTCCACTCAGAAGAGCTCCCTTTATACACGATGCCCGGAGGCAATCCTAAGGAGGAGGAGGAGGCTGGCGGACCTGACTGGTGGGGCAGGAGCAGCAGCAGGTTGCAGACCAGCAGAAGGGAGTAACTGCAGCGATGGCCTCACACACCTTGTAAATATTCTAATACTGAACTCGAGTGCTGAGCAGAGTGTGTGGTGGTACCCGTGGCATCCACATCAGGATACCAAACTGAGGTGGTGCATGCCTGTGACTCCAGTACTTGGGAGGTGGAGGTGGCGGGATCCCGAGTTCCAGTTCATCCTTAGCCAATTTGAAGACTGGGCTATATGAGACCCTGACTCTCCCCCCACCCACCCCTGAAAAAGAAAATAATACACCCAAATTTAAAAACAAATAAAATGTAGCATGCCAGAAGCCAGCCCTGCATAAACCAGGTGTGGTGGCACATGCCTGAAATCCCCATACTTTAGAGATAGAGGCAAGATTCTCAGAAGGGCGAGGTCGTCTTTAGTTACATGGTGAGTGTGAGGCCATCCTAGGCTAGAGACTCTATTAAGAAAGTGTGAAGGTGTGGTGGAGGGAAGGAGAGAGAGAGAGAGAGAGAGAGAGAGAGAGAGAGAGAGAGAACTCACAATGGCACAGGCATGCTGATAACAGGGAAATGATGTGTCACTTGAGAACAGATAAAGTTTAAAAAGCCCTGGGCCATAGAAGGGTGACCACAGCAGCACTGTTGTTATCGGTGTGTTGCCTGAGAGACACGGTTTAACGGAGGAAATGTTTATTTTGGCTCACGGCCCCCGGGTGAGTGTCTTTATGGTTCCTCTGTTACAGTGAGGCAGAAAGCCATGTGATGTATGGAAGGGGCTGCTCACCTCATTGCGGCTGGGAAGCAGAGCATAACAGGAAACAGACAGGGCCAAGAGGTACTCTTTTGAAGGATGCGCCAACTCGGCCGCACCTTCCCAGCTCCACTCTCCTGCCCCCAGCAGTTCATTCCAAGTTTGAATTCGTAAATATTTTGAACCATTGGCTGACTCAGAGCCCTTACAATCTTATCTCTGAAAATGGACTCAGACACAATCAGAGGTACGGTCTGTCATCTCCTGGTGGCTCAACACAAGTTGACAATCAAGAGTCACCATCAAGGGCCGAAGAGATGGCTCAGTGGTTAAAAGCATCCATTTCTCTCAGAGAAGACCCCCATACCTGGTGGTCCACAACCATTCATAACTCCAGTTCCAAGGGATCTGATGCCCTCTTCTGATGGCCACAGGCTCTGTAAGCCCATGGTGCACATACACACATGCAGGCAAAACACTCACACACATGAAATAAAATAAATAAATCTAAAAATACATAAAAATAAATGATAAGAAAAATTAACCACCACACCACCATTACTAACATCCTTTGTGCTAGTGGGGAGGGGCCTGAGAGGCCTTCTGTGAGACTAGAAATATTTTTCAGCTTTCTGAGGGTGGGAGTTGAAGGATGTATGTATACAGTCATATGTAAACTGCACCACATTCGAGACAGGTGCCAGAAGAGGCCA